CACATGAACAAACTGTATCCGCTAGCAATAAATCAATCTTAGGAAGATTCATAGAAATTAGGATCGAGCAAGAATAAGGATTGCAAATATCACAGAAAAATTTGCTCTGGTATATAACCATAGCTTTAACACCAAATGCAAACACTGGAATTATTTAAGGATTGGTATAACATCTATAAGAAATGTTCCACAGCATGAAAATGCTCAGATATAACCCATGGACAGGAATTACGATCCTGAAGTAGATGTCTAATCATGAACACTGTTAAAACATAATTCTTTTAATTAAAAGAAATCAAGTGGAAGAATATTCTAATTGATAATAAAAAGCTGACAGAAGAACTGTTGGATTACAGTCCTAATTTTAAGTGTATAGTAACATATATAAAGGGGAAGCCATAGGAGGAGCAGCTGAGGTCACTTGGCTTGGTCAGCCTGGAGAAAAGGAGACTAAGGGGAGATCTCATAGCAGTCTACAGCTTCCCCACAAGGGGAGGTGGAAGGGCAGGCAGCGATTCTTCTCTCTGGTGACCAGTGACAGGATCTGAGAGAATGACATGAAGCCATGTCAGGGAGGTTTAGGTTGGATACTAGGAAAAGGTTCTTCTCCCAGATGATGGTTGGGCACTGGAACAGGCTCCCCAGGGAAGTGGTCACAGCACCAAGCATGACAGGGTTCAAGAAATGTTTGGACAATGCTCTCAGGCACACGGTGTGATTCTTGGGGTTGTCTGTCCTATGCAGGGCAAGGAGTCGGACTTCCTTGTGGGTCCCTTCCAACTCAGGATATTCTATGATATGATTATATTAGAGTACTAGAGCTGAATACTTCAGCAATATTAAGTAATGCAAAAATATTTGGTTATTTAATACTTTAATAAATTACTGATTTTCTTCCCCCACATCATGTTTATATTATGACAAAGAACTCCATAATGATTAACAGTCTCACTTCAGCTGATCTGAATGTGTACTTTTCCACTTCTGACTTAATTTCCTCAATACATACTAAGAAATCTTCCATTTCTCCATCCAGCCAAATAATTGCATTTTACTTGAATATTAGTACTCCATAGTATTTTGATAAATACAGGACAACATTCTGATGTTTTCACTTTGAATATCAACCCATCCACTGCTGATGCAGATAACTCAAAGACCATAATATTCATATATAAATTTGTACAGAGTATGTGAATGCTAAAAATAATTGTCCAGAAGAATCCACATTCCAAACAGTTTCTGCCTGTCTCACCAACAGCAGCCCCTTCTCATTATCTCCTAGGCATCAGCTCTTTTTCTCCCTCATTTTTCTATTGCTCTTTGGCATTTTCCTCTCCAGAATACAATCACCTCGGGCCTTTCACTTGAATAAGCATTCCTGACCACACTTGTACACACTAGTACACACTGTAGTGTTTTTTTTGCATGTGCTGTCTACAGTCTCCATTCAGATTTCTCTCCCATTTAGCCAAGATTTTCTACCAATCTGGATGTAACTTTGATTATTTAAGGCAAACACCAAAGCCTAAAAGCATAATTACTTTGTGTCCTAAATAAACCCCTATCTAGTTAGGGCTTGTAATCTTAGTTTACTAAAGTCATCTTTTTAGTAGCAATTAAGGCTGAGGAAGCACTTTATCAAGGTACAGAAAATTAATTATTCCATTAAATGCTCTCAAATTAAAACTTAGTTTTCCAACCTCAGACAATTGGAAACAATACTTCCCCATGCAATTAGCAATTATTACCAATTTGTTGCTATGGTATTTCTGCCCAGGGCATGGATTTATAGCTTAGCTTTTTTAATAAAACCTTTCACCCAACTGCAGCAGTAATTTAGCTTGTTCTATTAGTCTAGCTTGGACACAAATCTGTGCATATATCAACATTTTAATAATACCCATAATTCCTTCTCATCCCTTGACCACACATCAGAACTTGAGTTCAAGCCTCCCTTCTGTAATAAACCGGTTAAACACCTTTGAGGCTTTTAGTCAGATAATGAAAACCACAACATAGTTAGCATCATATATTGACTTTCATTGTCTTTGTGCATAACTTAATTTACATGGCTAGTTCTTGACAGATCATTACTTAATGTAATCCAGTGAGTATACAATATTCATCCTTTAGTCCTCTATTCCAGAGATATCAGCTTTTCTCAGTCCCAGTGGTTAATACAGGAAATAGCCTAACCAGACCCCATGTTTTCCATTCAATTAAAGACTATTGTCACAGGAATCTGTTTGAGAGATATGACATTATAATTCTACACTTAAAATACCTAAAGTAGCTACTCTAATGAGCTAATTTAACAAGTCTTCCTCTCAATTTAAGAGGGGAGAGACAACTGTCATTTTATAAAATATCACTATAGAATTACCTATCAATCTCTGCCCAATGCGATAGGAATGATAAAATAAGATCAGAAAGGACTGTAGCTTTCCAAATGCAGCATTCACATCTTTTAACTTTATGATTTATCATTAGGCTTACCTTCATTGCTGGAAGTACAGTAAGACTACACAATGAGAGCAGTTTTCCAAATTTATGCTTATACATCAGTGAAACATGGACATTCTATACTACTAATAGCATTAATTACACACAGAAAATCATTACATCCCCCATCAAAGACAAACATGCATACTTAATCTGAGCACCTAAAATAAAGCTTCATGAGAATCCAGTCCCCTCCTCTCCTACAAGGAAACATTACCATCAACACCATTTCATACCGCTCATACCCTACTTTGTACTTAAGGAAAACTTCCTGCAATACAAAAGGTTAGGAGATCGGTAGTTACTATGCCTGACTGGATTAGCAAGATCAAGGAAAACTATACTTACAGTATAGTGAAAGACTGTTGACAAATATTCAAGATTAAAATCTCAACTACATCGGATCAGCGCTAGTGCACGTTAAGTCAGTAAGAAACCCAACTTCTCTACCAAAGTAATCACAAGACATACAGTAACAAATAAGTTCTACTGATAGCAAAAGTAGCTTTTCATTATCATCTCAACATTTTGTCAACTACTGGTATTCTCCTATGCATTTAAATACATGTTAGTAAGCTTATATTAAGACATTACAAGGACATGAAAATAAAGATTAACTGTGTATCACAGGAACAATAAACAATTATCTTTGAGCATAATTCATTTTCTATTATTGAAAAACATAGGTTTAAAAAACAACTATTCAATTTGCTACCAAACTATCAACCCAGAAGGATTCATTCTGAAAAAGTAAATTTCTGTATCCTAGAGACACATGAAATGATTTAATAGCATTCCTGAACCTCTAACACACAGCAATCACTAACTGCAACTAGATATAATTAACAGGAGTTTACTAGGTTTCAGATATGCCGTATCAAGCTACAAGCAATTAAACCGTCAAATACCAGCCACCATGCATGATTCCGAATGAAAATGGAACAACTAAAATATCAGAATAATTTTGAGAAATATGCCCACTTTTTATTCTTTCTCAATGTACTCAAGAATCTCAAGAACTGGGGGGGAAAGGCAGTGAGTCAACAATCAACACCAAGTTACCAGATGCAACAAGTACCAGATACAAGGGAGGAAAAAAAGCTATCTGCAAGAAGTTTCAGTGTTACTTCTTAGTCAAAAGACAAGAAGCTCACCAACTTCCCTTCACAAAGTGCAATATACCAAAACAATATCAGCATCACTATATTCTCCACCACCAGAACTGGAATTCAAGCTGCTGAGATGTACTCTACAGCACATTTCCAGACATCCCTCGGCCTACACCTCTTTGCCACCACCTTCCTGTCTCTGCCTGATTGGTATATTAAGCCTCTTATTAGTGAATGAGACACCTTTTTGCAAGTCCTGATCAGAGACTGGTACCTCTACAGACTGCCAGAAGTACACTTAAATGAGCACTTCTAGATGCTGTTGCTGTGCACCATAAATTCCTGGACAAGTCATATCTTGAGCAAGTTTTAAAAGTTTAAGCAGTTTTAAAAAGAGCTTTAAAAGAAATTGGGTCATCTGTTTTAATTTTCAGATGACTGTAATACCTGTCAGACACCTAAATGTAAAAAAACTTTTTTCTTCACAATCTTTTTTTCCAAAATTGATGTAACCAATTATTTTACCAAATCAAGATGTGTTTGAAAAAAAAAAAAATTAAGCTGAATATTAGTAAAGAAAAGGAAACTTCTTATTTGTTATCTTCAATTCAGTTTGAAAGCAAAATATTTGGTGGAATAAGAACATAAATACTAAGATTTAACACAACTGCTCTAGGAAGTTATGTACTACACAGAAGTCCAGCCTTTCCCCCTCCCCAAGTCAAATAACTGGACTATTTAACAGTAACACAGAAAAGCTACAGTATGCTTTTTGGCAAGTATTAGTCATAATCAATAAATATTATAATTCTGAAAGCTACAAAAATGTTTTTCTTTATCTTCTAAGGCAAATTAATTTTTATAAGATTTTACTTATATGTAGGTTCTTTATTCTTACCAGCATAATACTGGATCTTTTAGCATTAGGTAGAAACAGCACCCCACTTTAGAGGAAATACATAGAACATTTTCTTTTACAAATTTTGTAGAGAGTCATGTTCAGAAAGTACAGTCAAAGAAATACTACCCTCTCTTTCTAGTGCAAAATGTAAAGACTGATGGATGCTGTTGCTTTTGGGAAGTTGGTCCAGGGTCTTAGGCTGACCCTTGGGAAAACACCTCCTCCAGAAGCAAACCATATTCCTACCCACAGAAGCCTCTAAGATAACAGATATGAAAAGCTGCTTATTACAATCTCAAAGCCAGCTTGTTTTCTTATTAGTAACTTCTTTCCCTGACTCCACTGTGTTGTACTAATATCACTAACTTTAATATTAAACAAGCTAAAAGAATTTTTCATACCCATACTTGCTTTCACCAGACATTAGCCTACAAATATGTAACACCCCAAAACATATAAGATGTCAATACTGAAATAGCACTTACTGTAATCACAGCCTTGCTCAGACAGATAGAGCCTCTGCAGCCATACTCCGTTTCATCTTCAGACTTGTAATAACTGAGTGTGTTGCTTTTCAGAACTACCCATCGATCCTGCCACCCATGAATGTAATTAGTCCACTGTAAAAAAAATTCAAATATCAGCTAATAGAAAAGCAACGATAAACAGTTTGGCTCATATTTCTCAGGGTTCAAGAAAGACACTTCCACATCGAAGTTCCTTCTTTATATTCACCTTAAAATGGTAAGCAGGAAATACAATGGGAAAAAACCTCACACTGGAGTTCATAAACATTTAAAGAGACCTGCAGGATACACTTTGAATAAGATTCTCTTACCAAATTACTCCATTTCCTTCAAAGCTTCTTTCTTTACCAAAGAGCAGAACTGAAACACTAGTACATACACAGAGAACTGTAGCCTACTTGCATTGATTTAAAATGTAATTATATGCAATAAGTTATTAAAAGTAAATATTCCTTTAGTAGAAACCTTGGTATGCTACTATTTCATTCTAATTAGCTTGTCTCAAGTACTCCAGAGGCATCGACTAGCAAAAGGTAAACATCCTTCAAGCATATTCACTGCAACAGGTTTCACCATACTTGACCATTCATATTACATTCAGTGTTCTCGTAGCAAAGGCAGCATCAGCTACACCCATCACAATCATCCAAAAATGTTTGCATGCACTTAAGCTACAGAATGTCAGAAGCCATGGCTTCACCTGCCACACCAATAAAAAACAGCACTAGGACTTATTAGATTATACGATTTTACAGGTAAGAGCCAAGGGCCTTCTTTTCTCCTAACCATTGCTCCCATCTCCAGGCTTAGAAACATTTTCAAGCCTGAAGGAGTTCACAGAGTGCCTCACAAAAAACAGAGTACTAGCCCCATTATGGCACTTCTCAGCATCCATCACCTACTTATGATCTCAGTATTCCACGATCTGTGCCTTCTACACAGGTCTGTGTCTAGCTTTATTGTGTAGGAAAGGAAAGAAATTCAAAACATAGTGCTTTCATTCTAAAGATATTTCAACATTACTCTGAAAGTACTTTCTGTTTAAAAAAAATCTGCTTTTAAACTTAGTAATTTAATATTCAGCTTTAAAACACTCCTAAAGTTCCCCAGTATCATCCAACGCATACTTGCAAGTCATTTCACTTTCAGTAATAAAAGAGCAAAAAGTGACGTTTATTTTTAAAAAGGGAGAACAACTTTAGTGCAATTTTTCTTCTATTCTTCGCCACCTCCCATATCTCTCACAGCATGGGTATTTTATTCCCCTGTTTTGATACTTGGACTAAAGGTTGTGCCACTCGTGCTGGGGCCTGCTTCTGGGAAGTGACCACGAGCTGCGCCTGCCTTCAGGAGCTCCCGGGCAAGGAAGCATGACGTCGCGGCTGCAGAGCGCACGCCAGGCAGCCAGCGGACTCGATACGGGGGCAGAGGGCGACAGGGACTGCCGGGCGCCAACACCTCCCCCAGCCGCAGCTGAAGCCGCACCCGCGACTCTTCCTCAAGAAAGTGCTTCCTCACGCCGCCTCTCGAGGGTTGTGAGGAGTGGGGAAGGGCGGACAGGCACTGCGCAGATGCGGGGATAAGTACGTGAGCCCCTCCCCCTCAGTCCAACGGAGATGTGGTGGTGCCTCCGGCTGATGGAGGGGGGGCAGGCGGTTTGCGCCGGACGCCGAAGCGGCTGCCTAGCAGGCTCCGCGCCATCAGGTGGCGGCTGCCTCGGCCATAACGGCGCTTCCCGCGCCCCCCACTAGGCCCCTCCACCGGCGCCGGGGGAGGCAGGAGCCTTAGCCTGTTCATCCGGAGCAGCGGGGTGGGGAGGAAACAGGCAGCCGGGGCTAACAGCCCTCGGCCAGCTGCGGGAGGGGGGACTAGTGCAACGCGGAAAAGGAAAGCGAGAGGCCATCAGGCACAGGCTGCGGAGAAAAGAAAAGGCAGCTTACCTTGCTGAGTACCCCACAGAGCTCAACAGGCAGCCCGGGCTCTGTCTCGGGGTCCTCCTCGGAGCCAGAGGAATTCCAACTCTGATTGTCCGACATAGCCGAGCAGGGAAGAGCCAAGTGACCCCCGCCCACAGCAGCCTCAGCCTCCTCCTGCTGAAGGGATGGGAGCAGCGGGCTCTACCTAAGCAACACCGCTCCGCACCCGCAGTACCACCAGCGACCGGCCGACGCCGAGGCACGCAAGCTTGGGCTTCCCCCTCACTATAGCTCCACGGCCCCTACCCACGTCAAGAACCACAACACAGAGGGGGCGAGAAGAGACAAGCACGCGTCTGCCTGACACGCACGCCACTTAGAGCGCAGCGGCCACCACCATCTTACACAAGGTGAGTGCTCTGTGCCACTATTTATTAGCTCCACCCCTTGCCTTCCCTCCCAGGCCCCCTAGCCGGGCCGCGCGGCGCCTGCCGGGAATTGTAATCTTCTTTCTTGCAGCAGTAAAACTGGCCGCAATTGGCTCTCGGAGACGTAGTCTGATGCAGCGGCTGTCTCTCTCCCGTCGGCGGATTGTCGCCATCTTGGTTTCGTCGTTTCTGTGGAACTAGTGGTGGATTTCGCCTTCGTAACCCGATGAGGTGAGGATCTCCGTTTCCTCTGCCGCCGAGCGAGGGCAGTGGTGCTGCTTAGGACGATGTTTGCTTTCTTTTTCTGTGGGGTGAGGACCCTCTCTTTAATAAGGTGAAGGGTTTCTCCTGCCCTGCTCACCTTCTAGAGTGAGAGAAATAGTATTGCCGTCCTTATGTTAAGCCATCAGGACTTGGGGGGTGAGCGGCAAACCTTTCTGCCTGGAGGAATTATGACTCTCTTAAGACAGGACCATAGTTACTAGCTGGGTAGAGCTGCAGAGGTCACACCTTGTGGTCCCGCTGGAATGCCTTCATGGTAATCAAGTTGACCTCTGCCCCGGTGAGACAGTGTTCTAGTTACTTCCTCCCTATCATCTGGCTTCACTAACAATAATCCTGGATGATGTGGAATCCCTGAGATGCAGCATCCCACTTGACAAGGTGCACATGGTGTTCAAGTTGAGATGAGAATTGCCCTGAACATACAAGAGCCTTGTTTTTTTTCTGTCAGTTGGCCAAGCAGACAACTTGGCATTCCAAGCCATGATCACAGTGAAAGACATCTTGGTTTGAGGGATCTTATTAAAATAGATCTCGGCTATTCCCAGTTAATGGAACTGTTTAATCTTTGGTTGGTCTCTGGTATCATCCCAGACATGGTGAGAGGCTGTGGACCATCATATTATCACCCTGATTGCAAACATATATGATAATATCAATGCATATATTGACCCAAGGAATGAGCAGTTGGATCCCATCAGGATTCGGATTGGGAATTGGTGATCCAATGTCTCTGATTCTATTTAACCTAGCTGTGGACCCTCTGCTGTGGAAACTTGAAGAGGAGGGATGTGATTACCAACATTGTGTGAAAAATGTAACATCTGTGACCTTTGCAGATGCCCTTGTTTTGTTGAGTGGATCATGAGAGGGAATGAAGAGAAATATTGAAATCTTAGAGGCTTTTTGTGATCTTACAGGCCTTGGGATGCAAGGGGAGAAGTGCCATGACATCTATATCAAGCCTAGCAGGGATTCATATACCATCAGTGACTGTCCACTGGCAACAATTAATGGCATGCCCCTCAATATGATTGATCCAGTTACCAAATTGAGAAATACATGGGATTTTGCATTGATCCATGGGTCAGAATATCAAAACCAGACTTACTAGGAAAACTGGAAGATTGGCTACATCAGATTGAAAAGGCTCTTTTAAAACCATTTCAGAAGGTAGACATCTTGAAAGGATATACCATCCCCAGATTGTTTTATTTGGCAAACCAGGCTGATATGAAAGCCATGGACTTTAAGTCTTTTGGCAATTAGATCTGCCATCAAGGACTAGTTGCATTTACCTTCAAGTATATGTGATGCCATCCTTTATTCCAGCACAGGAGATGGTGGCCTAGGTATTACCAGACTATCAGGACTAATCCTCAGTATACAAGCCTGAAGACTGTACAGGATCACACAGTCTTCAGATGAAACAATAAGTGTAATTATGAAGGAAGAGGAAATTTAGAGAGAATATGAAAAACTATGGATAACAGCAGGCGGTGACAAAGTTCCATCACTGGTGAAGAGGAACCAGTCTCGAAATGGGATGAAATGGGAGACATCCGCCTCAAAAACCATTTATCTGATGTGAGATATGAAAGTAAATCAACATTTTTGGAAGATGTGGTGGCAAAAATAGTAAAGAAGTGCTAACACCTTAGAGATCAAGAATTGACAAATGCCGCAAATATTACATTTATGGGTTTCCCCCTGGGTGCATGTGGGAAGTGGTTTCAGGGCAATTACGAGTTATCAATGGGTCTCGATCTCTCCAGCTCCCAGCTGAAAAAGACTGCTCACACCTTATTGAATAGGGCACTTTTTACCTCTATTGATATTGTACATATATTTGCTAGCAAGTTGTGAACTATTGCAACATCTTAACTGTATGGGTCTTTTAAACTATGAAATAAAAACTGACTGTGGATCATTAAGCAATGTCACTATGGACGCTATGGCTGCCACAACCCAGTTTTCTATTAGGGGCCAGTAGTGTGTAGGAACACCAACAGGCTTGTGATCATGGCGCATCATCAAAACTACCAATTAAGACAAAATTCACTGGTCTTGACTCAGGTGGATGGGCCATCTTTATTTCACCCTGAAAAGGAACATGTATAAATTACATGTGTTTGATAAATAACAAAAATGGTGACCACAGAGGCCACAGGAAGGGGTAGGAGGTGCTGCTGGCTCCCAGGTGAGACATGAGGAGGGGGTGGGACCATCACAGGTATTGGGTCTGCCATCTGTGCAGGGCTGGCAGGTGCCTGCACTGCTCCCTTGGGCCCCGGGGTGAAGAGGCCATTGAGGTCTTTGCCCTGTGAGTGGGGGTAATTGCAGGTTGGGTGCAGCATGCCAAGTAACTGTGCTGTGCGGCTATGCTCAGCAGCCCGTTCCTTCCCTGCTGTTGGGGTGCCCCTGCACCGTCCTCTTTCATTCTGCTTTACTGGCTCAGCCCAGAGACATGTTATGAGCAGAGCAGAAAGTATCCTTGCTGAAAAGGGGGAAAGTATTTGCAGAAAGGAAAAAAATGAGACAGTTGAACGTATCACTTCACAATTTGTGAACAGATATAGTGGGTTGGGAAGGACTGTCCCATCTCCTTTCTTGTGATTTCTTGCAATAAAAAAAAATGTGTTGAATAGCATTAGTTGAGGAAACTTCAGTTTTAGAACACGTCTGGTTATATTTTAAGAGCAATATTGTACAACTGTATTTTCTCTGACTTCCTCCTCATGACAAATCATTGTGTAATTTTTCCATGTTATGCTGCTTGAAAGTTTCCATTGAAGGATTATTATTTTTTTAAAGAACTCTCAGCATTGACATAACTATTTATATGAATTATCCATTTCTGTGGTAGCTAAAAGCTAAATAATATTAGTACCAGCTCAAAGTCTCTAGTATAAAGATATTTAGAATTAATGCAGCACTGAGAGTGAGTGGTAAAGCAGCATCAGTGTCCTAAACAATTAGAAATAAAGGAGAGTCACAGACATCTTAATACTTGCATAATCACTGGAACACACAGAAACATTTTTATAGAAGTCTACTGTGGGTGCTATTTTTGATATTTTTTTACCATATATAAGATGTTGAGAAACTATGTTCTTTGATTCACCAGCTGTTTGGAAAGAAACCGAGATTTTTTTCTCTTAGTGTCTATTGCAATGTACTGCATCTGTTAAGCAAGCAGAGAGGCTGAGTTTTGTACGTATTGATATCTAGAAGAGCAATTTATACTCCTCCTCTGTAGTATGTTGATGAAGTTAAATGGTATCACCTGTAAAGGCAATAGTGTTTTCCCCTTAAACTCTTAATTAACTTATTTCTCTATCCTGATTGAAAGCAAGAGGTGAAGAGACACATCTGAGACTTTCATTAGTCTCTATACTTTTACCCACTTTTTTCAAGTTGTTTTAGACAAAATTTTTATAAGTTTGTTTTGCCACAAGCTAAATGTTTTCTCTAGGTTGATTTTCCATTAAAACCATTATTATTTATCCTTATCAGTTTCTACACTGACATTTTGTTCACATTTTGCACAGTGTTTCAAACTGTCCTTCTCCTGTTTCCTTTAAATATTTCCATTTTCATTTTGTCTATGGCAGATGATCCACTGTTTTTATCTGGCAGTGCTATATCTATTGTCTTATTGTAGCTTCTGTGATTCATTTAAATATGTTAAATATTTTACAGGTTTTTTTTTCGGGACGGTTACTCTGAAAACAAGGTAATCTGATTCTGTTCATGTTAAGTGGCTGAAACTTGTGTCAGTTGTTATTCATCTTTTCCCTTCTGTTCCCCTTTAAGCTTTGGTGAAGTAATGTAATGTCCTCTAATAAATGTTTTCTTAATTCCAAATAAGGTATTATATTTATATACTTTATCATCTGGTACTATCAATGTATTTTGTTTCACACAAGAAGCTGAAAAGATAAAACACATTTGGGGACCAGCATTTATGGGACTTTTTGAAGACTGATTTTTTTCATCACTGGTATCATAATTTTTCTCACTGGATATATAACAGTGTGATAGTGAAGGCTTTTGGCTGACATGATTTAGTGTTTAAAGCCCTTGCTATAAAACCAGGCCTTTAAGAGTGATCTGAATGAGGAGGGGGAAAGATTTTTGTATATGCTATGGATAAAGAGACTTTTTTCAAGAATGTTAAACAGCTAAAAATGTTGCAAAGACTGTAAATGGAAGCAATCTTGTGTTCATTCCAGCTTCTTGAAGGGAAAGAGTGATAAAAGAACCAGGGGTAATAAGTGGAGGAGCATTTACCTTGAGGAAAGTATTTATTGGGAATCATGCCTGTTACTTACAGATTGCCAGTAACAATGGAATTATTGTGGAGCTAATTGACATGGGAGTGATTATGAGCTTGATGTGAAACTTGTG